ACTTTTTAATTTTTAAATACAAATTTTTAGTAAAAAAAATATATTTATTGAATTTAATGATAATTTCATTCTTTTAAAAATAAAAAATTTTAAATTTAGATGAGGTAACACACAAGTTGAGTGAATTAAAGAATGCAAAAATGTTGCCTCTTAAAAGCACCTTTCTTTTATTGATTTCATCAATTCATCTTAAAAAGAAAAAACAGAAAAAGGTAAAAAAAAAAAAAAAAAGGGTAAGATTATCTCCTTGCTTTCGAAGCTGTAGAAGTTGTTTCACCTTCCACCTGCAAAACGACAATTGAGAAACAAAGAAAACGCACAGTGCAGAATGGTAAAAAAAAGCAAGTCAGTAGGCCCCTCATCGTTTTGGGGGAGCAGGAGCTGCAGCAGCAGCAGCAGAAGATAACACATTGAACAAAAACGAAGCGAACCGCTTCGGAGTCCGGAAATGGAATTCGCATGCTCTGTCATTTCAGGACAACTGACCTTTTTCCGTACTCCTGCCACGTGTCTCCCATTCTCCACTGCCACCACGACACGTGGCTCTGGACATGCCCCCGTCTCTCTGTTCAGTTAAACGTCGCTTTCATGGGACACATACTGTTCAGACAATAGGTCGGCTGCTGCGGCGTGTCGCTGTCGGCCGGTATCATCTTCCCCGCGGCTGCCTTTGTTCCGTAGGTTGCTGCCGGCTCCATTACCGAAATTAAAACCAAAGGCCAGACCCTTTTTAGGGGGGCACCTGGGTTAAAGGCTGAACGACGATTGGTTCATGGGGAGGTGTGCGGCGGACGGGTTAAGTTAAAGGTTGTTTCCGGCAGGCTGATTATTGATTCTGTTTCCGACACTTATGTTTCTTCATGTTAGTGAAAAAGGCGTCGAAGAACCAATTCCAAAGTCCACTTTGCCCCTCGAATGTTCTGATTATCTCAGATTTCTCCCTAAATACATGCTTTTTGTGATTTCCGATGCTCCAATTGGTCCAGTTATGCTTTTTCCCCTGGGAAAGCACACCTTCTTGTTACTACTTCCTAGTTACTACTTGCAGTTGCTTTAAATGAAGGAAAATTAAATTAAAATTTCAGATTGGGGTGCTGCACATGGATGCATGATTATACATTTGATTTTCTTTTTAATAGTAGTGAAATGGTATAATTATAAAGATATAACACACTATAATTGGTTAGTTTAGATTTAAATGAAATTTCATGTATATCATTTAATTTAAGCACACAAAGATAATATAAAATAAACATCTCACAATTAAGAGAGGGGTCCACTTCAGGGGTTTAATTTTTTTAAATAGTAGTGAAATGGTACATAGATATATTTGACTTTTTTTTTTTTTGGTTTGAACAGAACAATTGAGATAATGAAAAATGATATCCGTGGATTTAAAATTACAATTTATAAGAGGTGATTTCCATTAAACCAAAAGATTTGGCCACTAAACCAAAGCATGGGAATTGAGACATATTTGATTTTTTTTCAAGATATTAAAGGCTTATCGTCTAAATAAATTTAAATTTAAGTCAATATATACTATGATGGATCTACATTTCACATTCTATTTATGTATTGTGTAGGTTATATTTCAATTTTACATTAGTTTTCTTTGATAGACTATATATATATATATTTTTTTGTTGACCTTTAATAAATTGTCATTGAATCTATAAAATATGTATTTTATGTCTGAAATTTATATATATATATATATATGAAACCATTTATTTGATGTCACATGGTTTAAATTTACTTATACTTATCAATTTAAGTGATCTAATACTAATTTTTTTTATGCGTAGTAATTATGAAAGATTTGAGTTATATGATATATATGTAGAATAAGGAAAAAATAAAAAAATAAAGAAGCTTATAAATTTGAAATTAAAATCAGATTGAGAAGCAATAAAGAGGTGAAATGTTATTCCTCTTTTGAATATAGAGAGGGAATTTGGAAAAAAGATATTTCCTTCAAGTCTTAGGTGGCATTTAAACACCCAACCTTGGAGGTCCAAGCTCTAATTGCTTTCTTTTTTTTTTTTAGGGGGGGGAGGGGGGGTTGAATCACTTGAGCCAAGATGACTGGTTCGAGGAATGTTATTCATTACATTAATTAATTAACAATTTCATTAGTAAGTGAGAGTTAAGACAATAACTATTATAGTACATCAAATATTATTAACTATTCCCACATTGTTTTATCGCATTAAAAGATTTGTTGAAAGCAATGAATAACCATTCCTTTGTCATTCTCTATATCTAATCAACCTTAATTTTTCATTGTAATCAAGAAATAGCCATTTCAAGCGTTTGACTTAAATACTTTGAGTAAAATATGTGGAAGAGAATCATCTTTTCTCTGCATATCAAATAAAAAAAAGTGCATGAGCTTCATAAGTCAATTGTTAGATGCATCTAATATCTTAATAATTATTAAAGTTTAAGATTTGGCAATGCTATTTTATTCCTCATCTTTTACTCCCAAATTGTATCTATTCAAAAAAATAAAAATAAGTATTTGTACTTTGTAATTGGGATGTCTAATCTTCTTTTCTCTTGATCATGTAAGTTTTTTAACTATTTCAAATCAAGTAATTTAATTAAGATTTCAATTTCTTTTAATTCAAGCTGTTTTAAATTACAAAATATTAATTATTAGATACAAATATCATTCACATTATTACATGACACTCTCTTAATTTAGATAGCCAATATTTTACAACTTAAACTACATAGTCATTTTTTATATTAAAACAAATAATATTTCAATGTTTGGTTCTATTGTTCTAGCTTGGTCTTCAAGTTACATAAGGATTCCAAACCAAATTTGCAGGCTTTAAATTGACTTAGAGACCAAGATGAGGTCCTTGGTCAATATTCACATGAGTACGAACTCAAGGCCATTTCGTAAATTCCACACAACCTGCACAGCAGTACCCTATCGAACGCAGGCAGGCAGGCAGGCAGGTAGGTCCCAGCACAGAAAAAGCAAAACATGCCGCGCTCCATTTCTTCAACCTAACGCCTTCATCCATATACTGTTTCTTCTCTGCTTAATCCTACATCCCTTCCACCATTACCTCTCACACTTAAGCTCCAAGAAACCCTCAAAAAATGGCGTCTTTTTCTCTCATTTTCACTCTGGTTTTTCTCTACTGTCTAATGTCGACGTGGGTTGTTTCTCAGCAGCAGGAGCAGCAACCAGTTCTTGACTCGTTTGAGCAGGAATCGGTGTACCAAGTTCTGTCCTCCATCAACTCCTCCATCCCTTGGCGCTCCCTCTTCCCCGATGATCTCTGCTCCTCCGCCCCGCATGGCGTCGTTTGCGACTACTTCTCTGATGAGTCGACCAACGACGTTTCGGTTCACATCACGGAGTTGAGTTTTGGATACGTCTCGGATTTCACTCCTAACCCACCTTGTTCTCCCAACTCGACTCTCAACCCGCTCCTCTTCACCTCTTTCAAGCATCTCCGGAAGCTCTTCTTCTATAAATGCTTCACCGAAACTCCGGTCTCAGTCCCCGGTGTCTCACCCACTTTCGCACAAACGATCGAGGAGCTCGTGTTTATCGGAAATCCGGCTTTGGTGGGTCCTTTGAGCGACATGGTCAGTAATTTCACGAGCTTGAGGAGGCTTGTTTTGACGGGCAATGGGCTTTACGGAAACATTCCTGATGGGGTTGGGGATTTGGTTAACTCTGAAGAGATTACTCTCTCTATGAACAATCTAAGCGGCGAGGTTTCTTTGAATTTTTCTAAGTTGAAGAAACTTAAGGTTCTTGATTTAAGTGGCAATGGTCTCGTCGGAAATGTCCCTGAACGAGTCGGTAATCTCACCCAACTTTTGAAGCTAGACCTCAGTTCAAATGGGTTTTCCGGGAAAATCCCAGAGAGCTTGGGAAATTTACAGAGCTTGGAGTTCATGGACCTGAGCTTCAACCGGTTTGCTAATTTCGGGATTCCATTGTTTCTAGCAGAGATGCCCAGACTGAAGGAAGTGTATCTGAGTGGGAATTCACTCGGCGGACAGATCCCAGAAATATGGGAAAAACTGGATGGAATTCTGGGGATTGGATTTTCCAGCTTGGGACTTGAAGGGAAAATCCCAGCTTCCATGGGAGTCCACCTGAAGAACTTGTGCTACCTCGGGCTAGACAACAACAATCTCCGAGGAAAAGTGCCAGAGGAATTTGAATTCCTGGAATTTGCCAGCGAAATCAATCTGGAGAACAACAATTTGAGTGGGAGAGTTCCATTCTCAGCCAAATTCACTTCCAAAGTTGGTGGAAAACTGAGATTGAAAGGAAACCCTGAACTCTGCATTGATGAGGATCTCAGCAGTGGAAAAAGATCTTCCAGTCTGCAGCAATTGAAGCTGTGTACCAAACCAGATATCCCCATTCATGTCCTTCCTTTAGGAGCTGCAAATTCTGGGTTTTCTTCTTCTTTCTCTCATCTTTTGGTTCTGTTCTTGTGTTTCTTGCTTATCAAGTATTAAGAGTACCATTAGGAAATTCACGTAAACAATAGAGGTTAATTGCAGAGGTTAATTGAGTACATGACAATTGCATATATTAATCTGATCTAATTTCATGATTCCATGTTTTCTCTTCTCTGATTTTGGAAATTTGAGGTGATTTCTGAAGTGGGATGTATCTTGGCTCTGTTTTTTTCTGAATTTTTATGCGTTTGGACCATGGATGATCCTCATAAGCCAGTTTCTTTTTTGAGAAAAAGCAGATACGGCAGCCTGCAACCCAGAAAGCCATTGATTTGAACTTCCATTTTTCAAGAAGAAACTGAGTTTTTAAACAGTTAAGTTCAGAATCTTCAGGCCCTGTAAATGAATTTTTTTTTTAAAAAAAAAAAAACATCTAGAACTTTCAATTTTCATTGCAATGGAACAAAAAGTTCATCTCCATCAATTACACCCAAAAAAAACAAAAATAATGAATTAATTCCAACAATTTATGTTGGAAAATGGAATGTTTGGTTATTAATAATAATACAAAATTTTTCCCTTTCTTTTTGGAGAGAAGGAAAAAAAGAAGGAATTTACTAACTACCCATTTGGACAACCAAAATTTCTCAGTAAACTCCGGTGAGCCTCTTCTCTTCTGCTTCAAAATCTACGGAAGGTTGACGATGTGTCGATACCAACTCCGATTCCGATGTGTTATCCGATCCCTGTTTTCTGCTTCTCCTCGACGAGCCCTCTCCAGTGGAGCAGTCTTTGGACTTTTTCCGTCGGGACTTCCTCTCATGGGAGGCTGACTCACTTGTTTGGCTTCGGTCCTTTGGTACCCTTGGTTTGGCACTGCCCTCTGAATCTTCCTTTTCCTTTGAAGATCTTGAAGACCGCCTCGAATGTTTTGGTTTATCTGATTTTTCCCTAGCCGGAACCTCCCCATGTCCGCATGAACTCCGTCTTGACGATTTAGGCAACTCCGGCAAGGGTCCTGAACTCCGTCTTGACGATCTAGGCAACTCCGGCAAGGAATCTGAACCCCTTGCGCTTTTGCTTTTTGAATCTGTTTCAAAAAAAAAAAAAAAAGAAGAAGAAATTTCCATAATATTATCAGAACCAGTGAATTTCTTTCTGCTCCGGAGCAAAGTAACAAAATTTGTATTACCTTCAGAGACCCATTTGACTGCGTCTTCCTCCAAAACCCCACCTCCGGCAACGGGTCGTAAGGGAGCCGATTGATGTCCCGGGGAGAACTCATTCATCTACAAAAACCTTCAAAATTAATGAATTTACAGAAAATATATACAGAAGAATCAATTTAAGCAAAAGAAATTTTTTTTAAAAAAAAATTACCCATCCGGGGGTTGAATTTACAGATGATCCATCCCATCCTATATGTGCCACATGCTTGACGTCCGTGGGAAGACCAATCTGCATTTCAGTCTGTTTCTCATCCTCTGCAAAAAGTGGAGAGAGAAAAAAAAAAAAAAAACATATCCACTCTGAAGTATGAATTCCCGAGAAAGTTCATCAATTTTACAGGAAAATTGGAGATCATCACGTACCAAATATTTGAGAAATGTACCTCAGACCCTTTAACAGGCCCTTCATCTTGTTGTTTTGCGATGCAGCCATAGTTTTTTTTGTTTAATATATCTTAATGAACTACAAATACAGCTTCATCTAGCTTTTGCAATGGAGATGGAACTTGACACAAGAATTTCAGAGAAGAAAATGAAGAATGTCCCAATTTTCTGTTTGGTCAGCAAAAAAATCTCGGTTTCTCGTCTCTACGGGGGTGCAAATTAAGCATTAGATTCATGCTGGAGAAACAAGACGAATTGGGTTGAGGAGGGAAGAAGTTAGAAAAGAAAAAAAATTGGATCAAAAACAAGTGACTGTTTTTGACAAATTTGAGGGTAGAGGGAAAAGTTTCAGTTTTAAGCAAGAGTTTTGTGGATTCAATGGTGATGCTTTGTTTATGGCTAAGGATTGTCAAACGTCACCCAAAAAAATGGTTGCCAATTTAAATCTCTCTCGTTCTTTCATTTTGAGATGAGATTCTAAGTTTAGGATATTTCTCCTTTTTACCGCTTTACTATATGTTTTGCCCATCTTCTAAATTTATCTTTGCTCTA